ATATATATACTTTTAAGGGGTGGGGTGTGCGATAGACTTACCTCCACGTGGTGCACCCTGGGCAACGTATACTCATACGGCAAAAAAGTCTATTAACCGGCAGTTGACTTCTCACTTCAAACTACCATGGCCTGACTGCTTGTCATATTCGACCCCTTTCACAGTACGCATCTTACCTTATTCTCTACCTTTGTGTCTGTCTGCCTCTTTTACATCTGTGAATCGCTCTTCTGATCCCCACCCCTCGACTTTCTGCTACTTTGATGAACCTTCCTTCTGTGAAGCCCGAAGTCAGCTAAATGGCTAATGATAGCTATCATAACGCCTGCCATTTGAAATAAATAAATAAAATAAAAAACTTTTAAGGGGTACGACCTTATGATTCTCTTACTGAAAAATATACCTTGAGTGATTCAAAGTGAAAATTCTATTTCATTTTATCATTAATATTGAAATGAGTATGCTTTTGAAAGAGTTTTTAAAAGATACAATCATTAATTTAGCGAAATTGGAAAATAGCCTTTTGTCAAAACGAATTTTTGGACATGTCTCCACCTTGGTAATTTAAAAGCCCATCCATTGGTTAGGGATCGAAGGACCCTACTTGAATAGTTTGGCCAAAAAAAAAAGAAATTGATAACTCCCTTTTAGCACTCAATCCCTGCTTTAGTGAAATTTTAATGTCGACCAATGACATTTTCCAATGACTGCTTCAAAAGTAAACTTTCATTTATCTGATAGAACTGTCGATGACCTCGTTTGATTTACGATGGGGAAATACTTGCCCTATTTGGGTTTATTTAACGTCAGTAAAATCTTAGTTGTGAACCTTTTTCTCTAAAAAATGAGGTGAATTTGGCGTTAAAATAAACTGTTGGCCTTCCCAGTCCATCTATTTTCAAAACTCATCCTGGTCAGAAAAGCATCTTATTAGGAGAATTTAATCAGGACATTTTGCAACCTTGCTCGTTGTTTGTGCACTAGTGAATGCCATTGACGTGCACAAACGTTTGAATTAAAATGCCATTCGCATCCTTGAACATTACAAATTATAATATATTTCATATTAGTAAATACTTCCGTAGATGACAATGCAAAATCGGAATGAAGCATGCGAAAAAAATTGGTTAAGTAGAATACGTATTTTAGTTTAGGGATAAGTAATTTCCACAGTTTGCCTCTAAGGCACTCATCATCCTGATCAAATTGTCGGTTCAGGGCGCCCCGACATCATGACCGCTGCTAGTGGTAGGAATAGGGACTTCTGTGATATCAATAGTGTGAAGATGACTTATGCTCAATTAAACTTGCATTTGTCGGCTATCGATGTTAAACTAAACTCGCCAAATGCGAAACAGTGCCAAGAAGTTTAAATTAACTGGTTTTAGAATTTTTGAATCAGATTAAAGCATAAATTTTTTGGCCAGTTAATGAACCCACCAAACCGAGCAATTACTTAAACTAATTGAGATATTTATGCACAATCAGATAAGCATTAAAAGCATTTGAGTTAAAATCAGTGTTTATCTCTAAAATGACTAATTATGCTTTATCCTTTTTAGGGGATTTAAATAGTACAATTTCATTGGTATAGTAGTTAATATATGGGCTCACGATAGACTTACCTCTACTTGGTGCAACCTGGGCAAAGTATACACATACGGCAAAAAATGTCTATAAGCCACCAGTTGACTCCTAACTTCAGGATACCAAGATCCAACTGTAGATCAGATTCGACCGCTTCCATGGTACTTATTTTAGTTATTTCTCTACCTTTGTATCTGTCTCTCTTACATCATTGAACCACTCTTCTTTGCCCCCTTTCCAATTTTGTGACTTTGATAATGATAACTATCATAAAGCCTGCCATTTGATATGAATATTTAATATATTAGCAAAACTGAGATTCATTTTATTAATAACAAAAGGTAAGATAATTTAAAAGACTACCTTGATAATTTCATTCATTTCCGACTCTTCGATATGGCCATTTCCATCGATATCGTATAGTTGGAATGCAAGTCCCAATTTCTCCTCTGGTCCACCACTCTGGGTTATACTGATGGCCTAAAAATTGGAAACGCAAAAAAAGTGTAGCTAAAATGAAAAGAACTTGTCTGTGTAAGTATTTGGGAGTAGAGAGAGGGTAAGGGGACTTGAAATTGATTCGGGAACACACATCAGTTCTGGTGTACTGCGTTAACCTAAAAGCATACCAAACCCTAGAGTGGGTAAGGTCAAACAACTGACCTCGCAGAAATTAATGTCTTTTGCACACAATCTGTAGAATCCATTACCTCGATGTTCAAATAAACGGCGCATTGGAATGGCAAGAAGACTTAATTCGGAGTGGGAGAGAGACTGTGTACACTAGTGAATCCAAATAGTCCAGATACACACATCTCACCCTTAAGTCGTCCCTTGAAAAGGATATTGATAATAGCCACTTCAATGCTTTCGAGGGTGATTAACTATTTAAGTACTACTTGAATCGAATTTGATAAAAAAAACCAATTTTTTTCTGAAGTGAAATCAATAAGAAAAGTTGTTCACAACTTAAGCTTAAGAATCATGTCAAAAGAGGGAAAATTAGCTTAATTACCATTTTCATAAAATCATAATTTTAATAAACCTCATTTTGGCGGGGGTAATGAATTTGCTGAGGCTATGCTTTAAGTATTAGAAATGCTTTGAATTTCTGATAACTTTAATTAATAGCATTCAAAAGAGCCCCACGACCAGAGTCCTAACGAGACTACTTTAATGCGGACGAAATAGACATTTAAGTACAAACCATCTTCTCTGTTCTTGATAATACTAAAGAATTTCTAATATTTTTATTAATCATAGCTTTGATAGTCATTGCTTCTGATAGCACTTTTCTGACACTACCTGTGTGAACAACAAATAGGCTTATATTCAGACTGAAGCAGCTCCATCTGTAGTCGAATGAAAAAATTCATTGTCATGGTTTCGAGAAGCATGAGTCACAGTTGATAAGATGTCTAACATCTGTTTGAGGCGAAATTTATCAGAAATTTTATGCTACTTACTTAAATTAAAATATTCGAACGACTGATAGCTTGCGAAGAAAACAGTTCATAGAAATCTAAAAAACATTTATCAAAAACTTATCAACTTCTTATAATGGTGGATTATTACCTCCTGATTCGCATTATGCCGTTGGCGAAATAGTTTCATATTTGGTGATATTTGCAAATCTTTGGAGTTTTTTTGGAGTTGAATATAATTTAATATAACTAAAATATATGTGATTGAGGAGAATTTATGTAGAGGTAGACTATTTCAATACAATTTTTCCATTTAATTCGGTTTTAAACTATTATTTACGCGATGTGATCGTGAAATGAGTGCAGAACTTGTTAGAATCGGCATAAGTTGATACAAATATAGCTGGCGAAAAGATATCTTTACTACCAATAGTCTTTAATAAAATAAACATGCAAATGTGTGACTTTCTTGCTCAAATAAATGTGCCAATAAATAAATCTCTAATAGTTCGTACGGGCTATGAAAATGGAGAAACTACAGCGGGTACTTTTCATTTCTAGGAAGTGGTACAGATAATTTTATGGTAGAAGATCTTACTGATAGAAATTCGGCGAAATCAATTTGACCGCTATTGTCCTGATCGAAGGTTCGAAATAGGTGAGCGTAGAAGTCTTTAGCCTTTCCGTCAGGGAAAAAGTGCGTATACATATCCAAGAAGGCTCGTCGATTTAACTGACCGGATGGACAATCCTTCTGCAAGACAATCAACAACAAACAGCATAAATTCTGATCAATGTCTGCTCGATTGTATGTGTCAAAGTTGGTATTTGGTTAAAATGGGGCAAGGTTTTAAATATCACAGTTAAAAATCTAGGAAGGAAAGTAGAATTGAGACATATCTTGGGGGTAAATGTGGGCAACTTTAACCCTAACAACGAAATAAGATAATTTCTTTTGGATGATAGTGTGCAAGACAGTTAGGGACAAGTACACTTATTTTGTGAAAGGTGGTTTGATTTTTATTTTATTATTGTGGTCGCATATACAAGACTCAGCTTTAAGTTACATGATGCGATAAGGTAGATAGTGAATGAAAATTTGTGCAAAATGAAAAAAATGTTAAATGGCGTACAAAGATAGCCAGTCTTTCTGTCTACGTATCTCCGGATTATAGGTTTAAAATTAACACTTAATAAATGCCATGCCTTATTGGGATTAAGATCAATAAATTCAATGTCAAATTTCAACAATTCAAACCTCACTTAAACCTACGAGAATACGGCAATGTGGGTGTGTCACAACTATTTTGGAGGGGAATTTTCCGACTTTGCAATTATTGATAATCAGTACTCATTTGGCTCTATATTTTACACGACTGGGGTTGGATTGAGAGTGAAGGTTATTAATTAACTATTGTCTAACCAACGACTAACGAACTCATAATGCTCTGAGTTTGAGAACATTATTGCTAAAGCTAAACAATAAGATTTTCCTTCCGTTTTCCCCAGAGTGTAAACGATAATGACGAAAGGATTATTTTTTTCACTCAGACGAGGTAAATTGCCTATGTTTTATTTTGTTTATTTTTCAATTTTTAAATAATAAGGTAAATATTATGGCACTCAATGAGAATTTCATTCAAAACTGGGATAAAATATTTGGGAAAAAATTGAATGAAAGAATCGCCGGATGTTTTATATCAGCTATGCAGATGAAAGCGATGCCCTCAACATTTCTGTCATTTTGAATACACCCTACTCCCAATAAATAAACTTAAACCGGCTTAATAAATACATGTGATAAGAAAAGGCCAAAAATCGTACCCTTCAATCCCAGCTTCATGTGTTTGCACTGAATAAAAATAAGACAATTTAGTAGGTAGTGGTGGTATGCAAGAATTGAATTGGAACAGGGGATTCGTGATTCCCAGGTTCTACTATGGTGAAGAGAGAGAGGAGAGAGAGGGGGGGACAAAGCTAAGCGAATTTTTATCACCTCTGCTTGCTAGCATTGAATTGCGGCTTCTATTTGCCATAATAATATTGTTTTGACGATTATGTGCATGGAAAGTGTTCGGTTTTTTCCGAATCTAATTTTCCAAATTTCGAATGACAATGTAGCATTACACATTTGGAATTGTAAAATATGAAACAAAACCCAGAGACTTTTAGTAGTGAACAAGTTTTGACAAGTGGACAAATAGTGATAAGTCCAATATTTGCGTTGACGACCTATCTTCTACTGGAAATAGCTCCTTGCATATAATAAATGTTTTAGGTTATGTAGATGTCAATTATATCTTTTGAGAAAATTGACTTTATGTAAGAATTAACGCACAATACTTTTTTTGCCCATCAAACTCATGCCTTTTTTAATGAAAATATGAAACAGCCACTGCCTGCCCAAATGACCTACTTTACATATGAGAAGCCACTTGAATTCAATTACAACTGAGTAGTTGAGTGCGACTACGAACATAGTCAAAGGGTCATGCACTAAGTTATCTTTTTAGTTAAATGCATCCTCTTTCCAGTTGCAACATGAGCCCAAAAGCAAAAACATGCTGAACATTTTTTGCTCATTCTGAATAAAAGTTTTACAAAAAGGCAAATCAGGCCTCCACGATGAGCACTTGCAAGATGTTGATTAGAAAAGAATTAGAAGTTTGCCTTCCTGAAAGGTGGTACAGATTCTACTTATCACTTACTTCGTCATTAGTTTCACAGCATTCGTTGCAGGTAACGCCTAAACGTGTAAAATTAAGGACAACGAAAGCCCAGGGAGAATTGTGCCTCAAGAGGGCAGAAGTAAGTTTTCATCTCCGAAAAATCGATTTGCAGCATTTCGTCTACTAAGCATGGCTCTATGATTGAAAGGAAGACTATGAAGACATCATGATGTCAAGGTGACCTGGAATCTACAATGACATTCATTTTTACTGTATTTACAATAACCAAATTTAAGGAATGACTGCTAGCGCACAGAGTATAGGAAGCATAAACGGGTAGCGTACCGTATCAACATAAAAACGACTCATACAAACTAATTTAGACGTTGTGGAAGGGAATACATTGAGAAACTCAGGATATCAGCAAGTTCATAACATAACTCAAAGCATAGACAAAGCGGTGAGAGTATCAATTCATTCTGACTATTTCTTATCCCTCATAAAGTGTATTGAACGCTCTCTTCAATGTCACCCGAATATACGGGATTAGAGTGGGGGGGGGGGGGGGGGGGGGTGGATGAAAGCTCAATAAGTGACAATTTAATCACTTTGATGAACAAAAAACAAACGAAAATAAGAAGATTTGATTAAAATTAGTGAAAAATTTGAAGTTGAAATAAAAATATTAAATAGGAATTTTATGATTAAAGTGTAATAAGGTATTAATAAAGTGGCCAATTTTCTCTCAATCTTGCAGTTTAAACAGTATCATTGTAAACAAACGTATTTTTTACATAATTCTACTACTTGGAAAATAAATAATTTTCATCCAGTAATACAAGAGGATTTCCTAGCTGTAAAACTCAATTTTAGTAGGATTAAACTCTTTGACGCTTTTCATAATTCAAATTGCTTAAATGTGATAGATTAAAAGTAAAAGATTACTCAGTTTAAAGAAACTTTTAGAATTGACATTCTACTCAAACATACTTTTGATCAAACAAGATTTAAAAAAACGTTTGTAGTAAAGTGAGCCAATAGTGAATAATATTAAAAATCTTTAAACATTTAAAGAAATAAATTTGCTATCAGTTCCATAACTACAAAAAATTGAAATTGAGCTACCACAAACATAGTTGCATTTTATTCCGTTGTTGTGGATTCGAGTTAAAAACGATATAAATAAAAAACAAAATGATAATTTAAAAAGAAAACAAAGAAATGGAGTCTTTAAGGCCCAAATGGTCGTAACTGAGCCACTGTGGAAATATTTTTATTTCAAAATTGGTAGCTCAATGCAACTCATATCTGCAAATACCTCAAGCTGTCATTTTTATCTCTGAAGGTAATCTTTGGCTCCTTGGTTTGAATGCATAAAATAGACATCAAATTTCGATTCATTTGTCAGACGTCAATAAGTAATAATAAATAAATGCTATTCCCATAAACGATGAAATAAAAAAAGTGATTATTGCGATATAAAGGAGATTGCAATCAAAATTCAGGTAAAAAAGTTTTGATAATATTTTGGTGAAACTTAAAATGCGCCAGATCCAAGGCTCCATCCTATTGCATTTTTTAAATATATTATAAACTCCTGCGTCGACCCAAAATTCGTTATCGATGTAGGTAAAGAGGCAAGGAAAAGTAGGGGAAATGTGATACAGATGATTAAGACATACCAGGAAGATGCTATGCCATTTTTTAATCTGTTTTTCAGTGAAATGTGTTTTTAATGCCAGAGATCGGACCTCGTTTCGAGAGAGACGATGTTTGCCGTGTATAGCGCCCATATCTTGACCAAAGTAGTAGGGTGAAAGAACGCTGGTAGGATTGTGGGGCTGTCCACACGCACAAGGACTGGGGTCTGCTATTTACTAGAATAACAGAGCTTTCTGTGCACTTATAGTAATGCTGCTATTTCTACAACCGATAATAGTGTTAAGACAGAGCCTACATATTTAGAGGTTCACATGGCAGCACGACCGCACATGCGTGGACAGTTATACGGACGCACTCAATCATAGGCCGCTTGTAGCGGGCTCGAAGCCCAAGAAAGCATGAAGACCTGAGAGTTGGAATGAACGAATTAACGTTCAGTTGTGCGTGCATATATTTTGGGAAGTGACCAACCAGGTTATGCGCTTACATGGATTTTTCTTTTGCTTTGTGTGACCTTGCTATTTCGCGAGTGTGTTCGCAACTTGGTGGGCATTAGTCATCCAACTGCGGGTTCCACATCAAATCAGGCCCTTACACATCCACCCACGTATAAAAAGGCACTTTTTTAATGTCTTAACATTGAACACTGCTATCGAACAATTAATATACTCTTAGGCGGCTTGACCTCAAAACCAAACTAATAGTATTTAAATGATATTTGTAAAGACTACGTGCGGGATGAGTCAAGGCTAAAATTTGATTGAGATGTCGATTTTAAGTGCAAGCAGATCATAAACTTTGAGATTTCAAAGAATTTATTTAAAGCTATTGAGCATGCTCATTTGTTGAGTAGGCAACTTTGAGATGATCATGGGTTGTCCAGCAATGGTTTGCAGAGAGATACACAACTTGCTGCAGCTTTTGAAAGATGCGAACGAAATTTGAAGATAGTAGAAAATAAATTTTTCCGGGATTCAAGTTGTGCTTTAACTTCTTGTTTGAAACAAATTCTGACAATACTGATATGTGGGCAGTATACTAAGTTGCAACTTGCTTTAACGATGATAAAAATGTGACCCGGAAGTTATTTTACCCTCATTTATTCAACCTGAAAAGATCCAAGAACTCCGTTACAGATCAGTTTTAGGAATCTTTCATGAACTCGTAAACTTGGCGTGATACCTAATCCTTTCAATCTTGAAATCTTTCATCTTCTGTGAAAGGTTGGTCAGATACAAGATCTAACCAATCGAACGCTCATCCACATTTTCACTTCATTAAACTAATCCACTTTAATATGATTTTTATAAAAAATTAATCGAGGAAGTATTGATTTAACTCATATGATTTCATTATGTTTAACATTGGCTTAATGATACAGCTGAATAAGCCATTTGCATTTCAACCAAATTTATCTTCGAATAGTGGTGCACCCTGGCAATGTATTCTCATACGCCAAAAAGTCTATTAACCGGCAGTTGACATCTGACTTTCAACTACCATGACCCCACTGTATGTCATATTCCACCACTTTCACAGTACTCACTTTACCTTTTCTCTGTCTTTGTGCCTGTCTATCTCTTTTACAACCTTGAATCACTTTTCTGTTCACTGTCTCGAATTTTGCTCTCTTTGATGTCCCTCCCTCTGTGAAGCCCGAAATCAGCTAAAGGGCTAATGATAAGTATCATAAAGCCTGCCATTTGAAATTAATTAATCTTAAAATAGTTAAATATTCTTTAATGATCATTGGAATAATTTCGGAACATAAAAGTTAATTTTCACTTATAAATTTAAA